CTGCGGGGCAGGGGGCATGGAGCCCCACTCCCAACAGCCCCCCACACGAGAGGGAAGGCCCCTCCACAGGGCTGGGTTCCACAGGCTGCTCCGGATAAGGCCCTCCGCTAACAAGGGTGCTGCCGCAGTGTTACCGTCTGCTCGTTTACATTTCTTCTACTAAGCAAACCCAGGTGACATTAAGCAAGCATTACCCTTTGACTGAATCTTTTCACAGTTAGGAGAGATGATGACACACTTCAGCTTTTTCAGCCGCAAGTATTTCAAAACTTCTCTGAGCCCCATCACAAGCCGGCGTTTTATCTTGGCCTTTACTGGGTCTTTCTGATACAAGCGATCTTGGAAACGAACCAGTTCTTTCAAGAGATCCGTCACACAGCTATCAACCTCTTTACTAAGTACCTGGCTGCAATAACTGTGAGAAAAAAAATCAATTAAATGTTAAAAACTCTGAAATTACAAATATATATATATATATATTTTGCCTCTATTCCCACTCCAAACATACTTGCTATGTACAAGAAAATGGAAATTCAAATTTTTTCAGTGACAGAGAAATTGCAGAAAGGTTTGTTACTTATAATACATGGCTCATATTAACCCTCTCCTCTCCCTCCCATAACCACATCCTAATCTCTCCCCATGCACAACCCTTCCCTCCACTTCCCCCCCATCTTTTTTTAATATTCAAGCAGTTTTCTGGGGACATTCCTGATCTATTCAAATCAAAGTAAGGCAAACAAACCAAGACATCGTTTCTATAAATACACAGCTACTTGCAATAAAGATGGCAAATCTGAATCAATTCTCCTTTCACAGATTTGTATTTTTTCTCTTCTGTTACATGTCACTTACCTGCAAGCGTGAGACCACACCTCGTGGTTTTCATAAAGAAAGGATAAAAAACAGATCCGTTATCTTACCATTTCTTGGGAAACATTCGGGTTCCAAATTAACTTTTCCCCAAGTGTATCTTCTACATAAATCAGTTGTTCAGTAAAAATTAAAAGGTAACTCAACTGCACAAAATCACCAGACACGTGTCAAAGTAGCAAATTCACATTAGGTTGTGAAGACAAAGTCCAACATCCACCCAGGATATAAAGGAGAAGCAAATATTTCAGAATTTCACTTCACTTTCAGGAGTGCCTTATTAACTATTTGAAATTTGTTTCATTAAGTCTCAGAGACAAATCTACTAAAATACTGAAAACTACCAAAGACTAATCTAAGGATATGCGATATTCTAAACTTTGATGAATATTTTACAATCTACAAAAGCCAGGGTTGAGTCCCCCAGTACCTACTTAATCCAAACAGGGCCTTTAGCAAAATACTGTTGCACAGATGCAAATTAAGTAATGTTTAATGCAATTAAAAGTTAAATTAGAGCTAACACATAGCGAGAAAAGAATGGCTATATCAAAGCATTTACTGTGAACATGAACTGCAGAAAAGGTCAGTGGTGTCTTTGCAGGAGGAAAATCAAAAAGTTAAAGCATTGCTTAAACAAATAACTGTTATGAAGTGTCAGGACTGCTATGCAGGATCTCTGACCTCTTCAAACATAGCAGTGAATATGTTTTTCTTTTTATAGGAAGATACGTGTACGTTAGTTCTGTTTTTAGAAATATAAGTGTTTGTACAAAATAACTCATAAATCTTCCTTTTATTTCTCTGCCTAGCCGTAGCATGAAAATTTCATCTGATTAGTCTCATTCTTTGCAATTTTGTCATATGGCTTGGCAGGTTAGAACCAAAGAACACACTAAGATAATTACGGTTTTCTAGTCTTTTGTCTTGAATTTTATACTGAGCTTCCATTTACTTAACACCAGGTATTTACACATGAAGAGAAGCTCCTTTTCCTTCTATAGCCTCTAAGAAATGTCTTGTCTTCAAAGAACTTATATTTGTAAGTAAGGAAGCATTACAACAACATACTAGATTTAACCTCTACTTTCATGTGCCAATTTACAGAAAAACAGGAACCAGAATTTAGAAGCTTAAGTCTAAACTCCAGTTACTGTTGCACAGAATCCAACTAAGTTGGAAAGCAACTTGGTTACCTTGTGGCACTGCAGAAAAAGAGAAAGCAGTAAAAATCAAAACTTACTCTCTAAATCTCCTACTGTGGATTTTTGGAAGATTGGAGTTCAGCTGTTTTGAAGCTGTAGAGCTTTCTGTAGAATCCTTGATTCCTGGACCCTCCAGACACCCTCCAGCGTCATTCTGAGCCACAGCAACTTGCATGGCAGGAACAGCTACCATGGGTAAGTAAAAGATATCTCAATTAAACGACAGAAAACTTGGGAATAATACTGAGAAAATCCACAGAATATTGGCTTTGATGTGTTCTAGACTCCCAATAAGCCCACACTGTATCTTGGAAAATTCTAAAGTTCCAGTTTACATTTAGCAGTATTTTGGTCTACATTTTAGAAGGCAGCTCACTGCTCACTCCCACTGTATTATAGCTTTCTCTTCAAAAAGTACCTGTTTGGCTATCCTGTGGAAGTGTTTCATCTTCAGTAGTATTTTCTGCAGTCTGACAAATCTTATCTCCATCTTTTGGCACTGCTGTCTGTTCTAACAGGTGCTGCTGTTTTCGCTGTTCCCTTTCTTTTAAAATAATCTAAAAAAAAAAAATCAATTCAATGTCACACTGAGAACAAAGCAATTTCTCTCTCCAGGCACTTACATACAGACCATACATAATGAAATTTTTGCACTGTCATTCAAAGTTCACAATTTATTTTTGTAATTTAATCACAAATCACAGTTCCTTAAAATATCATCCCAGAGACAGTACATTCCCTAGAAATACATCAAAAAGAAATTTTCCTGACTACCAGTGCCCAGAGGGAGAAGATCTTTTCTAGCCTTCAACTACAGGAGCCAAGATAATGTTAAAGCAAAAAACTGCTTTAGTGCAGAGAAGCAGATGAAAGGGTTTCTCTCTTTACCCTTCCTCTTCAGACTGCCAATTTGTAGCAGATCAGCCAAGTACTCAAGCACATAGGTACATATATATATATATTTTTTTGAAGAAAAGGAAAAAAAATACAAAAGAGAGTTAATCTTTATAGCAGAAGGAAGGAGAGTAGGACATTTGCTGGACCAGAATGATAGTGTAGGTAAAGTAATTATCAATCTCTCGAAAGCCATCTTCCTTCTCTGCCTTTTTAACTGGCTAAGAAGCTCTTACGGCGTACACAGCTGCTGGTTCAGCTCATCTGCCCAAACCTTGCAAGGCACCACACCACAGAATATAACCACAAAGGTAAATTTGCCCATCTGCATTTACCAAAGAACACAAAACAAAAATAAGCTTCATAAGCTGCGAGGAATACAGATGTTATATACCTTTCCTTTCTCAAACTTACTTTGCAGAATTCACGGCGTGAAGATAGAATAGACAAAATGCACAAACCCTCAGAGTTTGTTACAGTTTATGTTGCTCAATCCTCAAATTCAGCACAGAATGACCATTAAATCACCTTCGCTAGGTTTGTAAGAGTAATTCTAGACCCAAACTGATCTAGTGATGGAGTGTTACCACTGAGGAAAGAAAACTGCTAGATATGAAATCAATGGTACCTCAAAATCCTCTGCATAGAAGACGTGACAGGAAGAAGCATGAATAGGCAAGGAGGTAGAGATCAGAGAAACCTTCAGGTTCATCTAACATTAGTTGCTGGAGAATCAGCTGACGTTCTGGCTTGGAAGAGCACAGATACATTACGTACTACCTCCCTTTTTCCCTTCTCCCAAGTCCTGCAAACAAGCACATCTCATCCAAACCTAAGCAGGTTTCTTTGGCTGTCCCCCTATACCAACAATTTGAACACACTTTTGTATTGGCTGTCCTGGAGCTGCCAAGTGACTTAAGTGAGCAAATACATACTGAGCAGAATTGTTAAGCCTTTGGGTAAGACTCCTCCTCTTCCTTCTATTTTTTTTTTTAAACAAGCTGAAGTTGAATTTAGAGACAAGTGAAAGTCAAGATGGAGATCCTGATACTAACAGGTACAGACAGACTCAGAGAAGATTACTAAAATTACATTAGCCTTTTTATGCTAGGGGCGCTGGAATCCAAAGGGTTATGAGGCATCTTTCCTTGGTTTGATCGGTGATTTTTTGTTGCTGCAGCAGGTTCTTTAGAAAGCAGTGGTATGGCACCACCAACTGAAACAAAAGAAAATCTGCATGAGACAACTGTAACACACCTAAACCAAAACTGGAGTTTAAGTTCAATAACTGAGTTAGGACAAGTATAAACACCGTAGTTTTGTGTTGTGCTTAGAGTGTTCATAAGCAATCCTGTACCATTAAATAGAATTCTTTATTGAAGATAATCTTTGTTGCCTTCCAAGTTCATGACGAATTAGTGCCTCTACCAGCAGCATACTACAGGAATCATGAGCTCTACCCCTCAATATCAAAAGCAGTATCTGGCAAAACACTTTGTAGTGTACCTTGGCAGAAGTAGCCTTGTGCACTGTGGTAAACATTCAGGAATCTCCATTTTCCACTGCATCTATTAGTGCCATTTCCTCTACTACAATCAGATTCTGCTCCGTGTTGAGATACACACTGAGTTCCAGCACTAGAGATTTTTGACTTAATTGCTACAAATAATCTGAAACATTAACTCCTACCGTTTGTTTCATTTCCTTAAAGTTGGGTGACATCATTTGCAGATGAGTAATGAGCAGTGTAAAGCTCTTGCTAAATCTTATTTGCTTATCAACAAAGTTCTTAGAAGTTAGATCTATTTTACTTGCATTTTACACAGGGCTTAAGACACTGAAGCTTTAATGATTGGCCAAGACACTGAACTTGGAACTTCCAAGCCCTTATCTGACATCCTAACAACCAGGATCCATTTTCATCTCACTCTCTATAAGAATTAAGCTTTCAAGAGGGTGCTCTTTGTCAAAGGTCTGCTACCTGCAACGTAAGTGAAGTTACATCAGCAATTAATTGAACAGGATGACGTAAGAGAGGAACAAGACTGACTCATCCCCCCAGAAAACACGCAAGTGCCCTGGCAGTTTGTCTTAAGCCATCTTCACTTAGTGCTTCTGAAGTATTTATATGTTGATCCTCCAATAACACGTGTGGTAGAAACAGGCTACTTCTTAAAACTGCTACAGTGCAACTTAGTTCTATTTTAGTTCACTGAAAGAAATATATTGAGAGCACTGCCACAGATGTCACAGATGTCACAGGTTGCTAAAGAGAAGAATCATAACTGAACTGGATCTGAAGCCATACAGAAGTATATATCTCTTAAGCACCCTGCATTTCTCTCACTATGTATATCACTTGTTCACTTCAAATTCACACAGCTCTTGTGTTCCTGAACTTGATGGCTTCTACAGTTTATGTCACCATGCATGACTGATGCTTTCCAAAATTCAATCTCAATTCATATAACTAGTGCTCTAAGCTGCTGTTCTATCCATACATTATTTACTAAATGAAGTGCTAGGTGGAAGGAAGTAACTCCATCTGCAGTCACATTCCTTACCTTTCCTGTCCACTTTTTTACCTTTCTGAATATGCAGGTCAGCACAATGTCATTTCATAAGCCAAACTTACATTTAGGTATACATGGATTTAATGTGTGCACTGAATATTATAAAATATAAAGCTGAGATAACAACTACCTTACAATTCCAGGATGTCAACATGACACATCAATTCCTCTTGTCCAGCACTTACAGATTTGAGCAACTTAATATTAGAAACCAGATATTTTGACCCATAAACTTCTATTCCCCAGTCATTTTGCCAATATATGCACTGCATAATTCTAAATACTGGATGCTGGCACCTCTGCAGCTCTAAACTTGACTGACTCCAATTTAAAAAAAATGCATTTTTTTTTTCATTTGCAGAATAAAAAGAATGATAAGAAAAAAAAGCATCTTATAAATTCCTTCAGCCAAGGCAAGTCTCACTGATGCTATTTTCTGCTTTTTCCTTAAAAACTCAGACAACTATTAAACTAAAGATTGTGTATTGAATGTTTCTGTGATTAGCTTTTTTCCAGACTACCAAAATAGGAAGTAAAGTTTTGTTATTAAAATCTAGCAAATATCATGTTTCATTTCGAAAATGGATTCTACCAACACAGCCAAGACTAAGTTTTGAATTCTAATACAAAAGACACTCGAGCTACTTACTCAAGATATTTGCTCAAGCTATTTGCACAAAGTTTGACAGATCCAATCCACCAAAAAAATAAACTGGAATTTTGTCAAACTGCAGTTGTTTCAGTGCTTTCAGCCACCACAGAATTCATCTTCCGGCTTGGGCTGTCTCTCCTATAACCCCCGTGTCTGCAAAGGTGCTTTGTGTCTGAAGTTACAGCTGTAGGGGCCTTCAGCAAACAGGAACTTAAAAAGATATTTGTTACTGACACAGCAAAATGAGATTTTCAGTTTTGCTAGCACAACTATTTGCTAGACTGCACAATCTAAATCATGGAACTGATCCGGGTAAAAACAGATCCTTTTTTTGCAGGTTCACACTGCAGCAGAAGCACATTCATTTAACACATGTTGAAAACCTCTAAAACCATACATGTTTTCCTCGTGGGTTAACTTTCAGTCACCTCTCAAATTTAAGAGAGGAGTCATTGTGCTGAAGAACTTTCTATCCTTCAGTTCTTCATGCCTTTTTTAAACTTGGTTTTCTTCTCTATCATGTTAACCAGGCTTCATGCTGCGTATTCAGAGATCATCCCATGTAAGAAACTGGGCTACAGGTAAGGTTTGAACACTTAAAAGCAATGCTTTTAGTAAGAAAGGAGATTTAAACATAGCCAATACCTGAAAGCACCACAGGTTTAGAAGACTGTTTTGACTTCCCCGTTTGCTGTTTCTGCTCCAAGACTGCCAACATGCCACCCAAGTCCAACTGCACAGGAACTTGACTCTTCTTACCACTGCTCTTGCTTGCTTCCTAACAAGTTCAGTACATATTAGGAACATCCTCAATTTCAGAATGTAAAAGACTATTTCACAAGATATATAATATATTCTTAGTATCTTTGTTAAGAATTTATTCTATTTTCAACTTAATTAAAATAAAAGTATTTTGATATTTATATATACTTAAATTTAATGCAAATAATAAAAAAAACAGCAACAAATTATTTGAATTGCTTTTGGGAAAAAAATGGCTACTGGGAAAAAGCATAAGAATGTCAAGTCTTTCTTAAAAACAGCTGCTTCATGCCAGGCTCCTACTCTGACCCAGCTGCCACTTATCTTGGAAAAAGTAAAGAAGTCTTAATAGAATTGCAGAGTTGTGTTAAAACTACAGAAGAATCTCGGGGACTCTGTAAATCTTCCAGGGCACATGATTGTGATACATCCGTATTTGCTTTCGTGTCTTTTTAAAAAGAGAGGTCATTAGATCTTCATTTAAGCACCACCTCCTGGTAAAACTAATAGTAACCTCCCTGTTTGCTTTGAAGGAAAGGTTAAAGTAAGTTTCTCATGCTTGGTATCACATTCAATGATTCAGATTATAATGGTGTCAAATTTCAGGCTAGGAGTTAAGAACATTCATGTTATTAGAAATGCAGTCTCACAAAGACTAAGAAGGGGTAACCTACTACAGCAGAATGCGCTAAGGAAATGACTCACAGACGTTGTACTTTTAGAAACCCTGCAGCTTTCTTGCAGCTTCTGTCACAATGCAGTTAAGGGATGTGACTTCCTCCTGAGCCCAGGACCTCACCTTGCATGAGTGCTGTGCAACCACCTAGTCATCCACATGGAACTACATACTCACCTCTCCCTTATGAGCAACCTCAGTGTTGCTCCATTTCTTCCTCCTTTCCCCCAAGCTAAGCGGAACTTCTTATCTAAATGAGAGCCAACCTAGTGGCCACTTAAGTGATTGCCAACTCTAAAGACAATCAGTTGGGACTTACATCATGGTCAGGTAAGACAGATGAAACAATAATTCCTGATACCTGAAACATGCATATATTAATGGAAAGCTAATATTCTTTCTCGAAAACAGCAATGCTGAAATTGGGACCTAACAGTTACTACCACTGAGTGCTCACAAACAAGAGGAATTTGTCACTTTGTGGAGAGGAATTTTAGGAATTTGTCCTATTTTGTGACAAAGCAGGCATACAGCCAGACTTAAGTCTTACATTTAAATACGTTAGTGTCCTTTGCCATTCTGGGTTGCCAACTTCTTTTTAAACACGAATTTAGTTTACCTGCATTTTCTTTTTTTCTAATGCAACAGATGTAGTTTGCTTCCCAGATATTCCATCAACTCTGGGTATTCCATCCAGCTTGGAAGAACGACTATCACAGGACTCTTCAAGAAGATCACCCTTTGAAATTCAGGGACAAGAAGGAAGAGAAAATATTTAAAGACATACATAAAACGAGAAAGAAAAGACACATCTGAATTCAGACATAATTAGTCAGGCTATTTACAGTAAAGGGGGTGTAAAGCCATGATTTAGATCTGAAATAGTGAGAAACAAGATTCTTCTACAAATACATCTGCTTACTGAGCACTGTACTGATTAGCGAACTCAGGTTTTTCTTCCTTTCCTCATAGTGCGGTGGAAAAAACAAACAAACAAACAGCAAGCAGCTTGCTCTTCAAATATTTATTGCAGAACGGTGTGTCTTAATGATAGCAGGTCTGTATGATAGATGTACATTTCGAGAAGCTTACAAAGCTAAAAAGTGCAGGTCTGCCCTACACTTTCTTTTATAGAAAAGCTGGTTTGAGCAATCAGTTTATCTTTTCCTGCTCATTCCTCCCCGCCAATGCAATTTATTGCTCCAAACAAAGCAAGGGCACTTTTTTTTTAATTATTTTTAAACCACTAATGCTCACAGTGAAAAATAACATTCATATGAGAAAAAAAAAAAGAACAAAGAAAAAAGCTTGGATTCATAACTCTTCGGTGGAGTTTTTTTTTCCCCTCTGTTTAAACATGCACAGCTTTATGTTAGTTTTAATGTAACAGCTTGCATTTGGGATGGATTCAATGATTCAGTGTCAGATTCAAGGTCTTGTACATTTTGACATTGAAATGTTACACTGTTCAGATACCACGGAAACATAATTATATACACAATGTAATTATGAAATGCAAAATTAAACCAAAACATTACCTGTAGGAAGACAAACCACAGAAAAAGACTTCATTTCACCTAACTTCAGGTGCCAACAGCGCAGGAGCCTACATATGAGTCAGCTGTTCAGAGCTCAGGGGGCAGCTCACAGACCAAACCAGCACCTCCTTCGTGATGGGGTGGGAAAAGACCACCCTGCCTAGCTCCTCACTGTCCACTGAGTACCTATGGTGACTGGCATGGGCACAGTCCCACACCACCAGCACCGACATTAGCCAGATGAATTCCACTTTTTAGTTTCATTTAAAACTTGCAATGAATATTCAAATAAAACTCTAAAATTACTTACTTCAGACTGCTTTCTAACAGCAGGAGAAAATGATGACATCTGAGATCCCACTCTGTTTTTCCTATCAGAAGCAGCTGCTAGATCAGGAAATTCTTCAGCATCCTAAATAAACAAAAGATACTTTCTATGAGCACTAGCAAGTTCAAGTCTCTAAAACTGAGGTTTCCTATGTTTAAATGTTTTGCTCCCTGCTCTTTGTCAAACACTTATCTTGTTTTATACAACAAAAATTCATGAAGCTGAGTCTGCCATCAACTGTAATCAGGTCTACAGGGATTGAGGCACCTATGAGTCAGCAGCAGCATCTGATTCAGGGGTGAAAGAGTTACTGAAAAATGCTTCCAACAGCAGCTTGTTACTGCTGTCAGCTGATGCAAATAACTAGACTTATATGGCTCCTAAAGGAGTGTTTTTCAGACCATTTAAAAGCCCTGTAAACCACTTCCCCTGTTTCTGCAGAATAGTCTCCAGCTGCGCAATCTTGCCTTAAACACGGGAGCAGTGAAGAACCAAAGAGCAGGCAAAAGGGTCGTAACTCAGTTATGGAGTTCTCTGTATTCCACAGTATTTTCATATACTCAGTCAAGCGACTCTGTACACTTGGATATATGAGTCAATTCTGCTCACAGTGGAGACACTGCCCAGATGATGGATTTGCTAAACCAGACGCACCGGAGCTTGCTGCGCACTGGCCACCTGGTGGCAGCTCGCCACCTCAGCAAGCAGTTCTGTTTAGCCCTCAGGGTTCTTGAGTGTTTCTCCCTGTGCTTCTTGGCTGTGATACAATACCACGGAACATACCAACGCTTCTTGTGGAGCCCAAAATCTGCACTTAATTACGCTGCACTAATCAAGTCCCCTATAAAAGCAGACAACATCAGAGCAGTCATATCTTAGCTCAATATCCTGCTTTGGAAAGAAGCTTTTAAGTCTACCAAAAAAAAAATCAAGAAAGGAAAAATTAATTTACAAACATACCCTTCCACCTTAGGGACTTCTTGAACCAGAGGTACTACCTACATGTAAAAAGCACTCAGGGGAAAAAAAAAATCAACTTGCTCAATCACTTTTTGAATTCACATAAATTTCCATTATTTGCAACAAAAAGTAAGATGGAGCACTGGAACAGGCTGCCCAGAGAGGTTGTGGAATCTCCTTCTCTGGAGATCTTCCAAACCCGCTTGGACGCAGTCCTGTGCCACGTGCTCTAGGTGACCCTGTGTGTGCAGGGGGGTTGGACTAGATGATCTCTAGAGGTCCCTTCCAACTTTAACCATTCTATGATTCTGTGATTCTATGATTCTATCTAGTACTTAGTGTGATAAAACAACTCCTTTTATTTGTTCTCATTACCTGGAACAACCAGAGGACATCAAACAAGTTTACAAGAAAAATAACTTACTTTTACTTTCTTGTCACTTCTGATTCTTAGTCATCTATTTTACAGAATGCCAAGCCCTGGTTTATTCAGCCTTTCCTGATACTGAAAGTGTTTCACACCTTTGATCATTCCTGGAACATTCCCTCTGTCTTTTTCAGTGTATCCATACATACATAATTTCAAGGAGTGGGGAACAGACAAGAAAACAGAACCCACACTTCAGTTAGATCAGGCACGTCCCAGATTTTTATCGGGTCGTAATATCTCCCACTTTCTTTTCTACTTTTCTAGTAATTCCTAACACTGTCTGCCCGTCTGATCAGTGCTATCAATACTGACCTAATTATCAATAGCAACTTCAGAACCTCTTTCCTGAAGGCAAATACCTAGTTCAGAGCTGTCACTGCGTACATACAGTCAGGATTATCCTGCCTCACATACATCACTTCACGCTCTGTAGCAGGTTCTATAAATCGAGGTTTTTTAAAAAACTAGCAAGCAATATAACTTATTGCTCTGGTAAAGTTCTGCACATAGCAGAGGACACAACCTTGGGCACAGGATCGCATCCAGACATCTTTTGAGTATCCTGCCAAGGAAGGAGACACCACATGCAGCTTTGCATCATCACCAGACTTGCTGGGGGTGCACCCTGCCCCTCCACTCAGGCCCCTGATGAGTAACTTGAACAGAATTGGACCAAGCATCAACCCCAGGAGACACTGCTAACTATAGGCCTCCAACCAGACTTTGCACCACTGGCCACAACCTTTCAGCCAGTTCTCAATGCACCTTGCTGTCTGCTTACCAATCCTCTCTTCCTCAGCTTCCCCACGAGGATATTTTGGGAGACGGTGTCAGTAGCCTTGCTGAGATCAAGGCAGACAACATCCACGGCTCCCCCATCGTCCACCCAGCCAGTTATCACAGGTTATGAGAGACCAGGAGACCTAACCACAGACCACACAGCAATTCTCCAGTGTGGGAGACTCTAAAGCATTCAGGATACTGATACACAGAAGTATCAAAATGCTAGTACACATACTGTGACTAAATTGAGTAGAAAAAAACCCTGCAAATAGTGACTAAAATGCTCCAATCAGAGATGAAAACAATCAGTAACAACTACACTTCATAAAACTCCTGCCACATTTAAAGCTTATTAGCACCACATTTTTTAAAACCATGGCATCAGTGTGGTACCCAGAACACAAAATTACTTTTTTTCAGAAACTGTTAACATCCAGACACTTAAGATAAATCATTCCAAATTTGTTCTCGAGTCTTTTCTGTCTGTTGATTTCCATGTGCCCCTACTGATCTCCTGTCTGCTCACTGAGTCCTTGGTAAATCAAAAGGATTGTCTCTTCTTTACCTCTAAATTCTGACAAAGTTCTGATAACACATCTTAACTGGAACAGCCCCTCTACAAAAAGAATTGAGTTTGAATATGCAGAAAGTTGGGTAAACATTTGGCCTTCCGTTTCATATGCTGTGCCTGAAAGAACAATAAATACAATCACAATCACCACCACCTTTCTACTGTACCTCAATCCTTGGTGGTTCCTGCACTGCAGCAGTTTCAGTTTGAGGTTTTTCTACTTCAGGCGATGATTTAGGTTTCTTTTTCTTTTTCTTCTTTTTTTTCTTCTTTTCTGATCCTTCTTCAGGCTCAGTTTCACTAGCATCATTTCTGGTTTCTGACTGTAGACAAAAGATCATAAGGAGTGACAGCATAAATTTATTTATTTCAATATGAAAATAAAAGTAAAAGCAAATTCAAACTAAATACAAGTGACCAAACTCACACAACTAAAGCCTATCTTAGTTAACTTATGCTAGGACACTAAGTAGAAAGGAGAATTCAAGATCTATCATAAATTCACGGCTAATGCAAGAACCCTTGAACTGAAGAAGACTGCACAGTTATCAGAGCACATCTATACTATTAGGATTTCCCATAATAAGAGTACATTTCCATGTTTCCTGTCTGGTTCTGAAGTCAGAAATTTGAAAAAAAAGTCCAGCTTAAACATAATATATTCGAATCACCCATTTTGAAAGTTAGTGTTGCTGCAGCTGCATTGTCTTGTTACTCTTTTTCACTACACAAAGTTCTAATGTATACAAGGTAATTTTAGATAGTTCTTAAAAGCTACCATGGAGGTGGGCTCTGTGTACAGAGCATATGGAATCTAGCAAAAATGGTAATAAATCATGTCAAGAGACACCATTACACAGTAGCAGAAATGAGTTTAGAGTAGACAATTCTCAAGTACCTTTGCCTGACTATCCTGCTTCCCTTTGCTTCTGGAAAGACCTTCAGATGCTGGTGACGATACAATTTTCTTCGGGGGCTGGGAAAGAACCATGGCCCAAGACACATGCGGCTGAGCAGAACCATCTGCAGATGTTTGAGGAAGTGCTGTTGCATAAAAAGTCATATCCAAAGATGTCAAAAAAAAATACTTCTCAGAGATTCAGAAGCAAAGGATCAGTAAGAAATGAATAAAGTACCATCAAGGATAGTAGAGAGCCATGTTCTTTCCTCGCAAGGAGTGAAATAAGATGCTTACTGGCACGTTTAATTTCTCCAGACTTTTTTTTAGAATATAAGCTTAGATGTTTTCATATGTGCTTTAGTGTGCAAGAGTTTTATTCACACTACCATTCAGACATGTTGGTATTTTTAATGAATACTTGTAAATATTCTTAGCACACAACAAATACTGAGCAAAATCTAAATTCCCTAAGAATGAGAGAAACCTTACTGAGAAAACAAACACTGCAGCTATTTTATTTTATGAAATAAGAACTCAGGAGGACTGCACTTGGGGGAAAAAATACCAGATGACTTCAAAACTTCTGGAAAAAAAAAATCTTATAATTAGTAGGCTTTTCAATGTACTTAAGCAGATCAGCCTGTCATTTTTGAATCCTTATAGCAGTCGGAGGGAAGATAAACACTGAACTGTCCAGACTGGTGCAGTTCGGTGCATGCACAAAAGTACATGGACTGGCATGTAGATAGCTTCAGTGCATAACGCATTTGATGGCTCCAGGATGAGTCTTGCTGACAATCCACACAATTTTGGACTTGGGTAACTCAATTACATTTAAATATTTACTCAAAACTAGCTACTTGATATTTTTGTGGCTATTAAAAACAAAAAAAAACAAGCAAACACCTCTACATCCTCACAGCCACAACTCAGGTAAGCAAAAACAAGCAGGACATTTCAGCGCATACATGGAATATCACAGTACTCCATTGCAATCTTCTCTTTTTAACAATCTTGATAAAAATAACATGCCACAGAATAAAAACACATACCTACCAAACCTTCAGCTATTTAAAGCAAATCTACCCAGAATGACCAAATACTTACCTTGCTTATTCCTGAAAAAAATCTGAAAAAGACTCAACCGACTTTCAATAAATCAATAGGCATTACCCTCTCTCCTCATAATCAATGCAGGAGGCAACTGCAGCAGCATTAGCCCTTGAGCACCAATTAGACCACTGAGAAAAATAGGACAATCAAAGTTCATTTGTTAATGAAATCTACAAGTAAGAGTGAGCCATAAGGGACTATCTCATTTGAAAGAAACTAATGAAGCTTTCTATTACTTAAAATTGGTCGAATTAAAATGGTGCACACTGCATAGCACATGATCAACTTGCATATTAATGAAAATACAAGGAAATTTGAATTTATTCCAATACTTGTTTCCAAGATATTTTGCCATTGCTCTTGAAGACTAAATTTATATAACTGCTCATTTGAATTCTTTTCATCATTATCTGTTAGCATTTCAAAAAAAAAGTTATATTAAAAAATTTTAAAATGTTTTGAATTATAAAACCTATTCACATTGCCCTGGTATTGCAAAGAAAGAGTTACACTCAGCTTGATTTGGTAAAAGGACCCCAAATAAGGGTTGGGGCTGTTTTCTGTTTTATTTTTTTCTGTAACGAGCTTATTCTTTTATTCTTTTGTTATTCATCAACAGCTCTTCCAAAACTTTTATTTTTCCAAATTAATAACAGACAAATAGTTCAAATACAGGGAAATAATTTATGTCTGTTGTACTTACCTCTACCATCAAATGAAGACGGGACTAAGCTGGCTACTGTTTCATATAAAATTTTTGATGGAGCTTTGCTTTCCACAGGAATATCTTCCTATAAAACAGATGGTTATATATCATAAAAAAATAGGAATATAAGCAGTGCCCTAAGTTGACTGAAATACATATACATAAAAAAATCCATATACAGACCGAGGTGTAGGGA